TGTACTAGACTAGACTCGACTATACTATACCTATATGCTGCTATACTGTACTAGATACCATAACATACTATATGCTATAGTATATTAGATGTTGCAATATCCTCGATAATATATATATATGTATATATATATATGTATATATACTTTGAGGTCGTGGGCGACGTGCACGGCCAATATTTCGACCTCTTGCGCTTGCTGACCTTCGGCGGATCCCCTGAAGATGAAAACTACCTCTTCCTTGGTGATTATGTTGACAGGGGAAAGAATTCCATTGAGTGTATTGCACTCCTCTTCGCATTAAAGGCAAAGCATCCGAATAATTTCTTCTTGCTTCGGGGCAATCATGAATGCGCATCCATCAATCGAATCTATGGCTTTTATGATGAGTGCAAGAGGCGCTACAACATCAAGCTATGGAGAAGCTTCGGAGATGCGTTTCAGTACATGCCTGTTTGCGCGATCATCGATGATCGAATTGTGTGCATGCACGGCGGCTTGTCCCCGGATCTGCCCCTAGAAAACAGTTTGGGAAAGTCTTTGTTGCTTCAATTTTCCTCGTTGGCTTAGTTTCTAGAGTAGTCGTAATTTTAATGATAATGGTATTGAAGACAGTCGTTTAGCAATATTGGCAATTAGTCATGCTAGCCGTCATTGTAACCGTCATGGTGCAAACGTAATAGGGAAATCTAGGAACATATTAATTACCATGATAGTTAGTAATAATAAGCACAATAATAGCAGTGGTCACAGTAATACTAGTCAAGAATAGTACTTGTTAAAGTAGTAGAAATATTAACAATACTAAGAATCTTATTAGTATTCATAGTAATAAAAATCATCATCACCAACGTCACCATCATCATCATCATAAATAGTAGCCACAATAATAGAGATAGCATTAAGAAGAACAACATATCATAAAAGTCATAAGAATAGGAAGAAGAAGAATCATGACAGCTACAAAACAAACACCCAGGACCAGCTTCGACCAGATCGATCAAATCCAGCGCCCGGTCGAAGTTGGCGACACAGGTCTTCTTGCGGACCTACTGTGGTCGGATCCATCTCCCGGTGTGGAGAAGTGGGGAGGGAACGATCGAGGTGTCTCGTTCACCTTTGGTCCGGAAGTCGTGAAAGCCTTCTTGAAGAAGCACAAGTTGGATCTTATCGCAAGAGCGCATCAGGTGGGGGTTTCCAAAAATAGGGAACCCTCATATATAGTTCCCCAAATAGCAGGATCCTTATCACAAGGGCCCCAAAATAGGGTACCCCTGATTTTTCGGACACTCAAAGGTTGTGGAGGACGGCTACGAGTTCTTTGCGGGAAGGCAAGTCGTCACGGTTTTCTCCGCTCCCAACTACTGTGGCGAGTTCGACAACGCCGGTGCTCTGATGAGTATCGATGAGGAGCTTCGGATCTCGTTCTACGTGCTGAAGCCAGAGTTTAGGCCAGCTTAAGGAGTGGCCGTCTCTAGCAAGTCCTGTAACCGTAGGGGTTCACAATGTCTCGACTGCGATCGTGCTTTTGTTAGTACTGTCTTGATAGTTTGATTGTTGTCTTATTGGTTGGCTGGGACTGTCCTGCCCGATTCCGTTCTGACCGGCGACACGTGTCATTGAGCTCAGATAGGTGGAGTTTCTCGTTTCACTTAACATGAGCACGCGTGTCGCCGGTTTCCTGCTTGAAAGCTGACTGCGGATCCTGAACCTCATCTGGAGAATCCGAGTGTGCGAGTGTAAACCGGGTGCCTGAAACTCAAGCACAGAAACCCTAAACCCTAAACAATCCCGATGTCTTGAGCTCTGCACGGCGCGCGCAAACCCGAATATCCTGAACACCAGTATCCTAAACCTGAATTTCTTATAATCTGGGATGGATAAGCGGCTAAACCCAAACATCCTCAACCCCTTAACCCGAACATCCGACACCACAGCAGTCTGTGCTTATCTTTGATATAGATATACAGTAAGCCCTGAACGGTTTAGAGTTCAGGTGGCTTCAGGCGTCAGAGTTGAAAGCTTAAGGCTTAAGTAGCTTCAGGGTTTAGGGTTTAGGGTTTAGGCGGGCGGCTGGGAGGTACTTCAGAGAGACCTCGTTCAAAAGGGTTTAGGGTTGTCCTTCTTCAGGTCCTTGCTGGACGCTTAATCGGCATTGTAGCTCCGGTACGCTTGCGGGTTTAAGGCTCCGGGCAAGCTGCCCCTAACCCCAGTTGTGCTGGTGATTTCCTTGGAAGCTTGTTACTAACCCAAAGTACAGCGAAAAGTCAGTAAAGCCTTCTCTGGGGGAGTCGCAACGAAGGACTGACGCCTTAAGGTTTAGGGCTGGGGAAGCCCGGCAAGGAGTGTAAATGTTCAGGGCTTAGTTGAAATTGCAGCGCGGGGTTTTCAAGAAACTGCGAAGAATTTTCTTCAAACCCTAAACCCTAAACCCCCAGGTATGGTGGCACATGATGCGAGGCTCGGATCCACCGTGCAGAAGAAGTTTGGGCTCTTAGCAACAGGAAGATCGACCTGGGGGCACCTGATTTAGGGGGCCGGCTTCACTAGCAACTAAGCTATCATTTCGGTGGGCTTTTCGACTCGAGGGTGCGGAGTGTAAGCTCCGCAGCCCTATCGATGTTGATGCCCTAAACCACCGTTTAGCAACCCTAACCCACCAACTATCACATGCCCGTTTTATAGCCCTCCAGAATCCTTAAACAGCAAGCCCCAAACACGAAAAGTTGCATCATGTCTCACTTTCACCCAACGCACTAAGTGCAACACGAAACCTTCATCACCGTCATCTCCAAACCCTACACCCCCGCCCCCTGCACAAGAAACATCGTGGCAATGGGAAGGAACACCACGGAACAAGCTTCCGGAACCCGGCACCCGAAGCGCTATGACCTTCTGAGCTCTCTGAACTACCCCTGCGCGGGCTTCCTCCTCGCTGCGGGGGTTTAGGAAGGCAAAAGCAAAAGGCCTTCTGACTTGAGGCGGCAACGTTGTGCAGTTGGACGCCGACGACGACGCTATGTGGGGCTTGGACAACGACGGTTACATCCTCTGGAGACCAGCAGGCTCTTCGGGTTTGGGGTTGAGTTGTTCTGCATATTCCGTAGGACTTATGTAACTCGTGTTTACTATCGTTTATGTCCAAGGGATTATTACAACCGGTATTTCCTCTTTTATGTTTGGGGTCAGGATGCGGGCATTTGGGGCTCAGGTGTGCAGGGGTTTGGAGTTATTATCAGAAGGTCTCTTGTTCTCACCTTTTCAGTATTCAATCAAAGCGTTGTAGCGGTTTAGGTAGCGCCGGAGGTTTCCATATTAGGCCCTTGGGTTTAGGTTTAGGCTTTTGTTGGCTTTGGTGCCGGTTGATGAAGGACGGTTTTGAATCCCTGAATCCTTGTCCCCGTATCGCCTAAACCCTTCCAAAAACCTCCAACCCACGAATCGCCAAGAACCTCGCCGGGCACGTCCAAGAGCGAGCTCCTAAACCGTTGAATGAAATTCGCACACTAGCATGGAACATGGTCCCAGTGAGCACGAACCGTTGCTCTTGAAGGGTGGGATTAGAAGCAACGGTGCAAGTTTCGCCCTGGTGCATGCATTCGTATTCGATCTTTCTAGTAACTGCAATACGATATGTAGGTCTTCCGCGCCCATGGCCAGAATGGGTAACAGCTTTGAAGCAAGCCCTTACACCGACAGCCGAAGTCCCAAATCACCCCGAGAATACAACACCCTAATCTAATCATTACGGCCCCGGTATTACGGCCCTTAACCCTGTCGCGGTTGCGGCTGGTGAAGCCCGAGGTGACGTGGGCAAGCACAGCCGTTGGTTGCAGCTCTACTGATCAGTAAATCCCGTTCTTCAAGGGCCGGAGTTCTGGGATCCTCCCTTATCGAGGGAATGATGAAGGTTAACAAGGGGTCTACAGAACACCTGTATCGCGGAGTTTTGTGCTTAAGGATGCAACATACCTCCAACTCAAAAGCAGTCCATGGTCACACAGTGCTTCGCAGAACCCTTACTTTCACACAACAGTTTCATGCGGAGGCCAACTTAATTAAATCAGAGGTGTTTTCGGGGCAGGTTATGCCGTAGTCCCAACGTGTTCGGACACCTTACGTTCTATCATGTTTCAGACATGTGCGGCATGAAGTGCTCGGTTGAAGATTCGAGAATCAAGCTGGACTCGACCCTAAAGCAGAAGGATCTTTCTACCCCCAGAAATCGGTGCTGTATTTATTCTGTATACATGCTCGTGTAGCAGAAGGAAGGAAATTCCGAGGTAGGCTGAAACTGTTGAGGTTAAGGTTTAGGTTGTCAAGGTTTTGGTGTTATTGAGGGTTTGGTTGGGAGTTGTGATGTACGGGTTCAGGGCTTTGGATTGACGATTAGGGTTACGGGGCTCTTTGCTAAGATGGCATCACCGCGATCTTTACCGCAAATCCTAAGATGAGAGCTCCGTCCCATCTCATAAAATCTTGAATTTTCTACAGTCTGTGCCAAATGTCAGAGTCCTGAACCCAAAACCGAAGGCATGAGCATAAGAAGCCCGAGACCGAAGCCACGGCCAAGGCGTGTCGATGGTCCACCTGACATTGCTTTCAAGCTGATCGCCGCAGACCCTAGCGTGGCAATGGTAGCCCTGGGAGTTTGGCGCCTCAGGGCATCTTCTTGATGGGCTTGTGTCTACCACCCCGAGCACGATACCGATACCCCCATATCTAACGGGTGTATCTACGAAGGAGTAGGCGTCGTTGTCGTCGTGATTCCTCGCTTCCTGGTATGATTGTCGCCTGGAAGACTGCGTTGCACTCAGCATGGCTAGGCTCAACCCCAAACTCCGAAAACCCAAATTTTTAGCCGCTGTCCCTATGGCTGCCGGCCTTCCTGGAGCTTTGACCCTGTCAAAAACATCAACTGAGAGACCTTCCAACCTTCTGGCCGGACCCGAAGCCCAGGTACCAGAAACCCGAAGCAAGAAGCTCCACCCCCAAAGCGATAGAATCGTAAGGCCTATGGCCTAAGCCTTAAACCCTCAGAGTACGATGGGCACTCTTCTCATTCCGTGGAGATACTCACCTGAACCAATGCATACCTGTATGTCCTCAACGAGAAGGGAAATTCCAGAGAGTCAGGGTCCCAACCAAACTTAACTGAACCCTCTCTACAGTAGCACCCTGACTGCCAGGACCCCCATATATACATATAAATAAATGAATAAATATATAAACAAATATATAAATAAATATATAAATAAATATATTAAATGAATAAATAAATAAATAAATATATATATATATACACATATATATATACATATGTGCCCCCAACCCTCCCCGCCCCCTGATACATGGTCCAGGATGCCATCCCCCCTGTGGGGCGGGTGTGGGGTCCCTCTTCCCCCTGTGGGGACTAGGAACACGCCCTGCGTCATAGGGTTTATGGCTTGCGCAGGGCTTGCGGAAGATCCTGGCCATTTCTGTGACCCACTGACCCACTCCTTTACCTAAAGGCCCCTAAGCTAAGCTCCACTCCTATATCGCCTATACCCTATAAACCCCGACTCCCACACCGCCTCCGAAACCTAAACCCCAAGCCCTAGAGCCCTGAACCCCAAGCTCCCCTGCACCCACTCCTTCTAAGGACAACAACGAGGGAGGAACCTGGCTTTGGTGCATCGACATGGAAGACCGCGTCTGCTGAGTGCTCCTTAGGAGCCATTTTCCTTTTTTTGTTATCTGGTGAGGTAAAGTTAAGAACTGTATGAGTTTTGAGTTTTCGTCTTTTGGGTCATGGTTCAGAAGTAGGAATTACACGATTGGAAATTTGCATTTTCGTCTGGGCTACACTGTAGATCGAGATACTTTCATTTCTGTTATAACGAGGGTTGTTAACCCCAGGGGCTGATTCCGAATGCTGTGCTTATCATGGCTTTGGAGGGCTTACCGGTGCCGCGCAAGGGCCTTTTTTAATTAACGCACGTCCCAGTCAGAAAACCTTAAGAAATTTTCTCTTGCGGATCATGGTTCAGACAGTTTTAGGCTGTAGAGTCTCGGTTCTCCCATAGGACCGTAAGCATTCAGATCGTGGGCGTGCCTTCTTGTTTCTGCCTCAAGAGCACGAAGGTCTGGCGAAGGTCGCCGGGAGACTACCACCTCACGAACACGCACGGCAAGTGGACTCATTATGACACCGTTTTCTTGTCTGTGGAGTTTCTTGAGTTCGGGTTTTCGTGTGGGATAGAATCTGATATAGTGTGTGAGTTGCCAGCATGTAGAGGGATGTTGGGCTAAGGCTGTTGACTCGGATCAGCAACTGGATGCCTAGATCTAAGACTGTTGATGTCGGATCAGCCACTGGATGCCTAGATCCTAAGCCCTCAACCCTAAACTCCGCTTCTGTTTCACTCTTCAGCAGACCTCGAACCACATGCCTCACCTGGATTGCCCGAAGTCCGAATCCTAAGCCGTTCGTTTAGCCAGACCTCCCCAGAAGCTCCGTGGCCCCCAACACCCTTCAGAAGGCTTCGGGGGGGTTTTGGGTTGCGAGGTACCCAGAGACTCCAATATCCCTTAATTCAGGAATAAACCTTACATCTTATTAGGGTTCCTAGTATAATTTAAGGTATATTCCTTCATTCAGGTATATTGGAGTCTCTCTGGGTAGGCAGTAAACGCAGCAGTTGAGTCCCTTGTGAAAAAGGGTGTAAGGAAGCGGTTTAGAGTTTAGGGTTTTGGGTTTAGTCGTTGCAGGCCAGTTGCAAAAAGGGTTTAGGGTTTGGTTTTGGGGTTCAGGGTTCCGCCGCAATCCGAGCTCGAGGATCCTGAAATACATTGAGAAGCACGCTTGGGGAGGAAAGTGCACATGAACACGAGACGTCTGTGTATGCAGTAAGAAGGAACTTGGAATGCCAACACAGATGTAATAGGAACACCCGTGTGCCGACCGACAGGTGAATACTACAAATACAAGCAATAGCACTAGAATCACTAGAAGCCTGCCATCCTGTTGATGGACAACATCCTGCATGATCCTATACACTATATTTGGATCATGCAGGATTTTGTCCATCAGCCATACCACCCTAAACCGTAAACCCTTAAACCCTAAACCAAAACCCTTGCTACGAGCCGGGGAAGGACAATGAAGGCAGAGAGTTCTGGGAGAAGCCGCACGGGTCCGTTTTGAAAGATCTGAAGGCGAATCAAGGCACCTTGGCTGGGGCATCTGGGGTTGGGGATCGCTGGGGATTCGGGGTTTTTGAGGCTTTTTGGGTTTGGGGTTTAGGCTTTAGGTTTACGGTTGTGTTTCCTGTTTTTTTTGGATGGTGTACTTGGGCCTGTTATAGTTCATGGCCCGTGACTAGGGGGAGCGAACCCCAACCCCGTGACTTGGGCACCACGGAACATTCTCAAACTAAATGATTGAAGAACTATACCCTAAACCCTAAGCCCGAAACCCTAAACCCTAAACCTAAGGGGTATTTCGCTCCCGCGCTGGGAGCCCGAATAGGGACCGGCATCTCGTGACCGGATGCAAAAAGTAAAAGCAGAGGCTTGCGGGTTGCGTGGCAGCAATGGTCCGGTGGGGAAGCAAGGACTTTATGAGATTTGGGCCAGGGAGGTTTCAGCGCCAACACTGACATCTCTATGAGTTCTGTTATAGTTCTTGTCTGAAGGCTTCCCACGCAGTTTCTGCTGCGGAGATATGAACTCCCTACACCCTAAACTTAAACCCGAAACCCTAAACCCTTCGCCTGGCTTGTCCGAGTTGTGAGAGCGCAAACCCTCAAAACCCTAAACCCTAAACCCTAATGCTGCTGTCGATGTCAGGCAATGGGTTTTGGCAAGGGGCTCCCGGCAATCGCAAAGCTGGCTCTTCTCCCAGGCCTCTTATGTGGCGGTTTCAAAAACGGCAAGGGCCCTGAATACTATAGGAACCTAAAATACTTACCCAATACTATTTTTGGGGGGCTCCTTAGTAAGTATAATTATGGTATAATATACCCCCCAACAAGCCCTGTACTGTTTTTGGGGCTCCTTGTATATTTAGGGTATATTATACCCCCCCAAAAGCCCTATTCTAATTCTTAAGGCGCCTATATTTCCCCCGTAATAAGCTGCCCTTGGCTCCCTTGACTCACCGACAAAAGCCCCAAATCCCGGAATTTCCAAGTCCCGAGCCCGAAATAAAACCCTCAGATCCTGAATCAACACCCCTAAACCCTAAACCCCTAAACCCTAAACCCCTAAACCATAAAAACCCCAAACACAACTCCAAAACACGCCTTTGAACCCTCACCTGGATTGTGGCTTGTCCGAGTTGTGAGAGCCTAAACACAACTCCCAACCCCCATGTGGATTGAATTGTAAATCCCCAGGTTGGGCCATGGCTGTCGATGACAATGGGAACCTCCTGAAGCGGAGTATCGATGGAAGCTGCTGCAGCTGGGCCTGTTTGTCTAGCGCTTTGGGTTTGCAGGGCTCGTTGAGGGCTTCAAGCCCGATTTTGTGTCCTTGAACTGCATGTGCCTTCTTGCATGGATAGCTTACGTCGTGAGGAAACCTTTTGCAGCTTGCGTAGTGTAAATAATGGGCAACAGGCTTTACGTGTCTACCAGGCAGCTTGAACTACGTCGTGGGTCTTTGGGTTTTAGCTGCTTGCTGTTGTGGTGGACTGCTGTAAGATGGGGCCCTGTAGCGGTTGTTCACCTGTTGGTGTCTTTTCGCTAGCCTCGCCTGGCAGCACGCAGTACCTGTACTTGGTGACACGAGCTGGGTACTGCTCTTTGATTCTGAGACCAGCATCGCAACAGACCTTACCAGGCTAGTCCGAGTGTGAGCGTCGAAAGTTTAGGGTTTAGGGTTTAGGGCTTAAGCCCTAAACCCTAAGCCCCTAAACCCTAAACCCTAATCCCTAAGCCCGAAGCACGGAGTGCCCAGTTCAGGGGCTCAGAAGGGTTCTTCCAGGCCTCTACCGGGGTTGTCTCGGGCTTTCGAGGGCGAAGACCTGTGGCTTCGGGCCTTTAAGGGTAGCTGTATTTGGGTTTAAGGTTTAGGGTTCAGGGTTGAGGGGTTAAGCGCTTTACGGTTTAGGGTCTAAACCCTAAACCCTAGGGTCTAGGGGTTTAGGGTTTGGGGTTTGGGGCTTTTCAGAGCAAAGGCCGGTGGCTTCGGTTGGGGCCTTCGGGATGCTCCGGGGCCCTTGAGTCGGTCGGAGGCCCATCTTCAGTGGAGCAGAGTAGTGTGGTTTCAGAGCAGTGAGGGTCCGATTAGTCCTGGGTACTTGCTTTACAGGCATGCATATATATATATATATACGTATATCATAGACATATGTGTAGTATTGAAGCATACCGTCTGGTTTTTCTGCTTCAATGAGAATAGGTCGTTGAGGTGCTTTGTATACAACTGTAGAGACGACATGGCGACATCTTTCTAGCGGCTTCGTGGCTTTGGGAGCCCAGGCGACGATGGAGAGAACCCGAACATTTCCCACATCCGCTGCTGGTGCATGGAGCCTTTAGCCCCGAGGCGCTGTTTCCATGTGGGCATTGAGGGATACGGTTGATGATACCATAATAAGGAAGATACCCTAATTCCCATAGTTCAGGGGCCTTCATGTAATGCAGATATATTTCATTAACAGTAAGTCGAGCAAGGGGGGTGTGGGGCGTCTCTGCCAGCGTGTCAGCTGCACGCGGAGCTCCGAGCCGTAATCAGAACCCTAAACCCTAGATCCTAAAACCCTAAACCCTGCAATGCGGGCTTGTCCTTGCTATGTGGGAGGGGAAAAAAACCCTAAACCCTCAGAGCCCTAAACCCTAAACCCTAATTCGTCAGAGCCATTCAGAACCCTAAACCCCAGATCCTGGGCCCCTAAGAGTGGTCTTGCGCACGGAGCCAAGCCTCCGAATCCCCAGCCGGACAAGCCTCGTTAACATGCCTAACTCCACGACTCTTCCAAAACCCTGGGGTTTACCTAAACCCCCCAAGAGTAGGTAAAAACAATGGCCCCGGAACCATAGAAGGCTATATTATTTCTACATACTTTTGGGGTCCAGGTAGGGTTTGAAGGGTCAATCCTCAGCCTGTGAGCCTTAAAACCTCAGCATCCCCAGGCCCTACATTGGGCTGTGGACTGCGGCAATGGCACCCTGTGGAGTTTCCCAAACATAAATGGGACTTTCCGAAAATTAGGGGTACCTTATTTTGGGGTCCTTATAAGGATCCTACTATTTAGGGTACTATATTAGGGTCCCCTATTTTCGGAAACCCCCAAATGTACGTTTCGGTGTTAGGTAAACCCTCTTTGACATTGAAACCCTTGGCTCGAACTTTTTCAGATTTGAAGCTTTTCAACGTCTTTAAACCTTTAAGCCCGAAGCCCATGGTTGCCCTTTAGATTCCCAAACTAACCAATTGCATGGTTTTTTCGAGGCGCCGACCCCTCCCTTGACGGGGATAGGGGGGGGAGCCCTAAACCCTAAACCTTAAACTCTAAACCCTAAACCCTAAAAACCCTAAAGACCCTAAACCCTTAATTGAGAATACTTGGGGTGGTTGGGGCGGGACTCCATGCCGACTCACAAGCTCGATACGTGGGCGTGGGCCCCCATTCCTAAAGAACTGCACTCAGAGCGCGCGCACTGTATACACACCCTAAACCCTAAGCCCCTAAACCCTAAGCCGCTAAACCCTAAACCCTAAGCCCTAAGCCCCTAAACCCAAAGCCCAAAGCCCTTGAACCCCTAAACCCGGTGCCTAAGCCTCTTAAGCCTAAATGCATAGGTGCCTGCTTAGATCTCTTTGTGGCCAGGCTGTCTGCAGTGACCGACAACGGCGACCATGGTCTCGGCTTCTACTTTCCTTCCTTGCAGCATAAGCTGCTCGCTTGAGTCTAGTGTTAAGGGTTTAGGGGTTTGGGGGTTTAAAGTTTAGGGTTTAGGGGTTTAGGGTTTAGGGACGGATTCAGGGGTTGAAGCTGTAACATGGTAGGAGATTGATTCAAGAGTGGTTTCGAATGTAGCCATGGATTCCAGGGGCTGTGACTTCGGTTCACTCGTCCCCTAGGGGGCTTGGGACAGTTTAGAGCTCTATGCGCCCAGCCCGGTTTGGGATTTCTTCCGTGTTCGGGTTCACTTTGGTGCTTTCTGTTCGCCATAGTCACCTGTAGTCTGGAGGGATCCTAACCCAGACCAGCACACGTCGCATGTGTTGTGATCCCCGAATGACTTGGTTTGATTTTTCTCGCTGAAGCAACAGCTGCTTGGGATTATCGGGCTTTCTCACACAAGAACCTCCATACCGTAGCCTTTCAACCAAAGTTCTTTAAACAAGCCCAAAACCTCAAAGCCCAAACCCGGTCGCTCTGGAGGCAAGACAACGGATGGTGGGCAGCCACGGCGAACCGGTGGCTCGAGCTTCTGCTTCTTGCACTCGGTTTTGATGCCCTTTAGGGAAGCCACAAACAAGCGTAAAAGTCCCACGACCCTGAACTCTGGAACCGTATGAGACTTGAACCTTGAATGTTGAGGACCCAGTGCTTCTTGGTCTCCTGCATTGCCAGGTAATCTACAGGGTGGAGGCTTCAAGGCTTAGGGAGTAGAGTCCAGGCTTCAGTAAAGTGCATGTGTTAAGCCCTACAGCAGCTGATGAAACCGTAAATTGCCCGGAACTGGCCGTGCGTCCTCTGGGAGGTCCCGGGAATCTGTGAAACAGTATATACGTAAGCGATAGAAAGTAGGAGACTTCGTACCAGGATCCCGATATACAACGGATACTTCATTGAGGGGTTCAGGAATACTAGAGTTCGGGGCTGTGGGAGTTCCGACCTACTTGTTCGGATTAAACTTGGAACACTGTAGGCTTAGAACAGACGAGGGAGTCCCGAAGACTGACACGGCAAAAAGAAAACCAGTGTCACCCTCCACTAAGCCCAAAGCCTGATTACCCCAAACCCCAAACCGTAAACCCGGAACCCTTGAATGTGTCCCAAGGACCAGTAGAGACGATGGCCACAACGCGGATAGTCCACACGAAGCCTCTCAGTATTTCTCTTACCACTGCAAGCCGCAGGACAGAGCTTGGGGCATGGGGCTTCGTACAGGGGCCGAAGATTCGGTAATTCACAAACTATCCTTAGCGTCCCCAGAGAATCAGTGAAAAGTCTGCCCGAAATCCTACTTTTATTTCTCAAGACCCCGAAGTTAGAGTCCAGAGGTGGGTTTTTGTCCAAGAAAAGTTTGTTCCAAACCAGGCTTCCTTTGAAAGTAGCTGCAGCTTTTCGTGGAAAGACACAGGTCGTGCCCGAAAAGCCTTACTTGTGCCCCAAACCCTTAACCCTACGTTTCGACAACCATTTGGGCACAAGGCTTAGATTTCAAGGTGTGTCAAGTAGGATGCAGGGAGTGCAGGGTTCATGCTTTGAGGGCCCGGCCCCCGCGCACGTTGAGGCGCGGTCTAGGACAGTCGTGAGCCAAGCTGGGAGCAGAGATGTTTGGGCGCTTCGGTCTTGAAGTCTCGCCGCTCTCTTCCGGATTTTCGTCATGACAGTCACCAATGGTGAACCCTGGGCGCTTAACCCTAAACCTTGACCATAGTCTCAGAGTATTCGGAGGGTTTAGGGTTTAGGGTTTCGTCAGAAATCCCGAAACCCCAAATGGGTTGGAGAAGGAAGTCGACCACTGTGCCGGCCTTGACGAGAGCATCACGGACTTCCTCCAGGGCTGGAAGAAGGCCTCTAGGGGAAAGCTTCTGGTGAGTTGCAAAGCCCAAACCCCCAAAGACTAAAGCCCAGACCCTAAGCCCCAATCCTAAACCTCCTAAACCCCACTCCTAACCTCTCCAGACCTTTTACCGGATTTCGAAGGTCTCGCGCGAGCCATGGCGGAACTGGGATTGGGCCAAACTGAAGGATGAGTGCCTTTGCTGCACAGATGACGATCTAGATATCGAGTCATTTATCTATTTATGTATCTAGCTATCTGGCTATCTACCCATCCATCCATCCATCTATCCATCTAGAATCTATCCATCTATATATGCACACTACACACGTAATATCAGTAATCTATGTATGGTTACACATATATAAGGATATAGATAAAGATATAACATAGACATAGATATAGAGTCTTAGAGGTTCGCAGTTTAAAGCGCCATTTAGAGTGTTTCGGGTCCAGGGACACATGGGAGCTTCGGAGGAAAACAGCGGATCCTCAACGCGAGCCTGAAATCTAAACCCCGACGCCCTAAACCGAGGTATGGCCACTGCAGCGGATCGAGCACGGTATGTCAAAGGCAGTGCGGAATCCATCTCGTGGGTCCGCATTTGAAATTTGAGGCACTAGGGTTTAGGGTTTCGGGTTCGGGGTTTTCGAAGGGTAGAAGCTCAACCTCCTAAATTGCAGGCTACTGTCCGTACATAGTGTAGTATCCCTAAACCTTAAATCGTGAACTTTAACATAGTGCAGTATCCCTATACCTTAAACATAATGTCGCATCCCTAAACCCGAAGATCAGGCCTAGGAACGCAGCACCCTCGCCCGCATGGGTCTTACAACGCCATCCCGTGGCCATGACCTGTCACTACACGGGAGTTCAACCACAAGGTGGTTTGCGGATGTAATGAAGGTTGGAGATGGATCTAGTGCCGCAGATAGCAGAATGATCAGGAAATGGATTGACAAGGTAAATTTAAATGAGCGCCCTTTCGAGGCCACTCAAGCACTACGGAGCGTTCCGCGAGCGCTTCATGCAGAATCTTTTCTGCTGCTTCTTGGTGGGTCATTAAGTTCTAAACCCGAACTTAAATATATATACAGCTATAGCCTGCGAGCTTGATGTGGTTTCACGCTGCATGCCGAAGGTAGTGGCTGTGTCAACAACTGCCAGGAGGTCCAATCAGAGTGTGGGCTTGTACACAACTTTTCAACCAAGAATAAGGCCGGAACCGCAAGAAAGTCATCCCTGAAGCCTACTTAGAGAGCCCTATGATAGCACCTATATACACAGCCCAGCCAGCCACTGTATCGCTAGCTATTTATACCCTCAACAAACCTTCTATTGGTTGAGGTTAGGGTTCGGGTTATCCCCAACTCTAACCCGCGGTCCCGGGGTTGGGGTTCGGGTTAACCCCAGCCAGGTTAGGGTTCGGGTCTAACACAACCTCAACCTCAGGGTCACAAGTAAGCCCATGCCCCCATCTTTGCCTCAAGCTTCAATCCGTAACCTTCTAAGTAGGTCAGCCGGTTTTTTAGGGTATCCTCGGGAAAGGCTCGCGGCATCTTCAAACGATGTCACTTGGCTGCAATCCCCGGGCTACCCCTACAACCCGAAGCAAAGGAATTAGATTGTATTTCAAGGATTTCGGGTTTGGGGTTTTGGTGCATCGGTTGTTCATTAGGAGTGTGGGGCTTTGGGGCTTTCGTGTTTATGCCGTTGGTGTCACCCGCACCATTTTGGGATTTTTGATGTTTCGGCGGATAGCACGGAGCCTGCACACCAAGAAGCCTTGGGTTTTCGTTAAGGGCTCAAGGTTCAGATTTCAGCCTGGGGTGCAGGGTTTGGGCGGTGTAACCGCTTAACCTGGGTTCCTGCACATCTTCCTGTCTGTTTAGGCTTTAGGAGATGAGTCTCGCAACATCTCGTGCATGCAGATCCCATTCCCGCAGCCCCAAACCTGAGGAACAACTTTGAACCGCAAGCCCGCGAAGCTTAAACCCGAAACTCAGGCCCTAGCAGCCTGAAGCCCTAGCGCATCGTGACTTCCAAGCTTCTAGGGACGATGTCGGCTGCGACTCGCCGATTTGCAAAGCCTACGACATGACCTGTCCGGGATCTAGGCACTTGTCACGCTTTCTCGAGGTTTACGGTTCGGGGTTTAGGCATGTGTCGAGGGATTCATTAAGTTTGGGGGTTTGGATGTTGTTTTTGAGGGGGGGGGCGGGGATGGTTGTGTCGACGTAGGCGAAGTCGAGCGAGTAGCTTTTCCATTTTTTCGGTAAGGTGCACAGAATCCTTTGTTTCATTGAGACGTCAAGCAATTGTGGGGCCAAGGTACTTAGCAGATAGGCTTGTGGCTACGGGTTGGCGGACTGTTACGCCCAAAGGTCCAAAGCTTCTGAAGTGGCATGCTGGAGTCTAGTGCCGGCTTTGTATTCACGTAGATTCTTGGGCTTAGGCTTTTGGGCTTTAGGCTTCAGATCTTGGTGTGTTGGCTTTTGGGAGTTGACAAGTTTGCTTGGGTTTACCATGGCCCAGATACACGAAGGCTTCTGGGCGCACGGAATTGAAACCCAGAACTCCCCTACCCTTCAGCCCGACAGTTCCTGTAATTATTACGGCGCTTCCGGTTTTTGCATTTATTCGGCTCACCTTGGAATTCAAAGCCATCAGAAAGCCCCCCAAACCGGAGATCCCTAAAGCCTATCTCCGATCTCCCCAATATGGAAGCCTAAATAATTACCAACATATTACTCCGTAGGGTTCCTTATCGTATAGGTATGGTGTAAGGGGGGCCCCAAGCCCTATTCAAAAAAAACCGAAGAAAAAGCCCGGGAGGCTGCTCACCTCTGACTTGGATTGCACGGTCTACCACTCCAGGGACCCGGGTGCCCTGTCTTTTGTGCGTAGTTCCGGGAAACGTAACATAGGGGCTTAAAATATAATCCATATCATTCCTGAGGGATCCTTATTATACTACTCATACTGAAAAGGAGCCCAAAACCCTATTCTAATCATTCAGGCCCCTATACAAAACCCCTGGATTAATAAGCCCCCCCCCTTCCTTGATAAGGGTAGGGACATCGTTAACAACCTGGAGGGGGATGGGAACATTTTTGGTTTCATACGATTTCGTCAGATCATCCGCGGGTGATGGGGAAACAGGTTGTAAACGTTATGCTCTTGTGGGGATACCTGCTCCGCGGGCCCTAACCAACGGGACACTGGTCATGGTGCATGTATCTGACCTGAAGAAGATCCCTGACGAATCCGCATCTGTGGCATCATTGCAAAATCCCCACCTGAGTCCTGCATTTGGCAGGCCTGCAATCATATCTGGGCCGTAGATCTGGGGGCAACTTTGTAAGCTATTCTGGCTGCATCACAGCAAGAGCCCATTTCCTTTACAAGACCCACAACAAGCCCCCGACCCTACACCCTCGACCCAATTCCGAAGCCCGTAGTGATAAATGCCACCTGCTACCCTTAAACCCACGAAAACAGAAGCTTTGAGGCACTGTGATTCAGGACCCTAAGCCCCAAACTTCCACACCCTGCAGTGCAGCTGGGAGGCACTTTGATTCAGAACATGAGCCTCCTTGCTGCAGAACGCTTGGCGAAACATGTCGGGGAGGATCGGCCGGATCTCTCCGTGCTTTTCGAGACCCGGCTGAGGATTTACGACTGATGGACACAAGGGTAAAGGGCTGAATGTTTGGGGTTTAGGGCAAGCGACTGAGTGCCCTAGAGAGAGAGAGAGAGAGAGAGAGAGAGAGAGAGAGAGGGCTTAAGTACCCGAAGCCTGTGGAAGCCATGGAATTATGCTATTGCAAAGAAAAGCTGTCCATCTGCAGTAGGGGGCTTGGGAGTTTGAATGCCTTGTATATATAGGGGTACATGGCTAACAGTACTTCGGGGTTTGGCAGTTGCCATGAACCCGGTTTCTTTCTGCAGTAAACCCTCCGCCCGCTCTGAACTCTGATGGCTGATAAAAGACAAACAGCCCCTTTACAGCTCAATGGGACATGTGTTATTATCACACTGCAAATAACCGAATAACCTCAAAAACACATTGTTTCCAGTCCTGTTACAAAAGCTTTTTCAAGCCACCCGAAACCCTATGGATACGTGTGCCCCAAAAACCCTAAACCCTAAACCCCTTAAGAAAAGTCCGAGAGTGAGTGCTGAAACCCCTTAGAGAAAGCTCTGAGGACGTCTCCTTGTACGGAACTTGGACCTGGATCCCGGACGAAGTCTTTAGCCGCTTTGATTGGCCCGCCTCCTCGAAGCTCCTCGGCTTAGAGGGTTGAGGGTATTAGGGGTTAGGGTTTGGGGTTTAGGGCTTCGAGTTTTAGGGGCTTAGGTTGCAGGGTTTAGGGTTTAGGGTTAGGGCTTAGGGCTTAGGTTTTAGGGTTTAGGGTTTAGGGGTTAGGGAGGGTTCTATTGCAGTGGTCTGTGTACCATACCTATAGATCCCTAGGCTGCGAAGCCCTAAGCCCTAAACCCTGATATCCCATACCCCCAAGCCTAAGTGATTCCAACCTCAAACTCTGCAAACAGAACCTGCAAGTGCAACACCAAGGGTCCTAAACGAAGAATGTGGCGAGCTGAGGTTTGAGTATATTAATGATACACTATCATGTTATGCTATCATCATATACGGACAGGACAGTAAGGGGTTGTACGTACAAGTACTAATGAGAATTACCTAGAACCCTACCCTCTGTTCGGCCGTAAACACCCACTATTTGGGACCATATGCCTTACAAGGAGGGTCCTGGTATATCATATAAAATTCCTTTCGGCACTGGGCCCCTGTAGCTCAAAGTTCACAAGGACGCGCGTGGCTAAGGGCCGGCTAAAGGAGTCGGGGTCTTCCGATTCGGGTTCAAGATTCCAGCGTGTTCGGGTTAGCTTACGGTGCCGAGCACGAACATTGGGTTTACAATGTGTCGTCTTCTTGGAGAAGTAGGGAAGAAGCAGCGCTGAGAATGACAAGACCAAACAGGTGCGACAACGGGAATGTTTGCATGGCAACACTACCCGAAATCTCACCAGTGTTGACGACGATTGTGGGACAGAGGATGCGGTGCAATTTTAGGTGGGTTTTTGCTGATTCGCAACCTGAATCCCAGCGCGCTAAGCTTAAACATCCCAATGTCAGGTCGCTCTTCGAGCGTGTGGAAGGCAAGGAGGGCGCTGCTGTGTGGGCCGCTCTTCCGAACAGACGGGGCTGTAGGCCTGAATGGTTAGTATCCTATGATTCACAGACGAAGGTACTTCAAGACCCTATTCTCATTATTGACGCGCCAACAATTTTAATGTGGTCGGAGTCTAGGTGAGGTTTGTGTTTAATGTACTGAAGTTTTGGTGAATGCATACTGCTCAGCACCTTCGGAATGTTGGTACGATATAGGTTTCCAGTGTCGTTGTGGGGACATCTGATTCGAGACAGCAGTGTCAATACCCTGCCTGATAATGGTTATTTATCGGTTTCTCGGCGGTTCTTTTAAGCTTACAGGGAGTTCACGGATTTCGCTAGGTAAGGCGACGTTAATTGCAGGCTGCCGTAAACATCCATGAACTGTCTGGGAGCTGACAGGCTGCGCATGCCACTGAACTGGTACCTGGTCATGTGGGTGTAGCGGGTCTTTAGCAAGTAATATAGAAGCCTAAATAATTGCTAATATGATTCCTCATGATGTACGTATATTCCTATATTACCAAGGCGCCCAAAACCGTATTCTGATAGTCTAAGGACCCTACAATCATGAAGTAGGAAAGGCATTCCTCCGCACTGTCCCTGAGCCCAGATTCCCGATGAAGCCTCCAACGCCAACCCAGCGATTCCGGTCAAGGGTTTGGGGATTTCAGGATTTAGGGTTCAGGGGTTTAGGGTTCAGGGGTTTGGGGTTTAGGGGTTTAGGGGTTTAGGGTTTAGGGAGTCATGATTTAGGGTTCAGGGGTTTGGAGTTTAGGGGTTTAGGGTTGTAGCCAACAGGAGCTTGAGTGCAAGACGATTCTTTCAGAATCCCGACGAAACCCTCGGCTGGTATACGCGAAGCCATAAACCCTGGACCGTGGACCTCAAACTGACACCCTAAGCCTTAAATCCTAAGCCCTGTAGCAGCTCGACCCAGCTACCCCCATAATGGAGATAGTATTAATAAATAACAATCATAATAGCAGAAAACAACACTAACACTTGTAATATACTAGTAGCAATGCTAGTAATGATGAGAACACTAATGGTCTTTATACTAAAACTAGTAATGTTAATATTTATGATAAGAATGAGAAGAAGAATGATGACAGTAGTACTGTTGATGATATAAATCCTGCAGTACCCATAATAAGGAATATACCATAATCTCATAGCTTAGGGGCCGTAGGGTAATGCAGGATTTGTATCATCAACTGTAGTACTACCAAGCCCAGGTCTTCCGACGGAAGTGCACGAACTCCGCCCGCCAGGCGATCATGGACAAGGCCCAAGTCTCAGGAACCGATTTAGGGGTTTTAGGGTTGAGGGTTTAGGGTTTGGAGGTTCAGGGTTTGGGGGTTTAGGGTTTGGGGTTTGGGGTATGAGGGTTGAGGATTTAGGGTTTAACCCTAAAGCCTAAACACGTAGCTGCCAGTTCGTTCTGTTGTATTCCTCGGTGAAGAACATGATGCTAACACAGCATGAAGAACGGTACTATACAGGGAGTACAGTGCACCCTGTCCTTCAGTTCCACAAGACTGTACCCTGCAATGCGGGCTCGTCCTAGCTAGGTGCGAGGCAGAAAATTTCTAAACCAGAAAAGCTCCCAAACATAAGCTTTTGAGTGCGATATCGCTGCCTTGTGGCTTTGTTTAAGACGGTGATCTTATTATGGTGAATGTTTAGGTGTTTTTTTTTTCTTTGGGGGGGGGGTCCCTCAACTCTCCCCCAGACCCACACCCTAAGCTCTAACAGCTCTAACACCGTTCTGGCCTGGGGCTTCGGGTTTCGAATTTTTGGTGGTTGAGGGTTTAGGGTTTTCAAGGTTTAGGGTTTAGGGGTTTAGGGTTGAGGGTTTAGGGCAGTTTAGGGTTTTTAAGGCTTCAGGATTTGAAGTTGCATCCTGGGCGCAGTCGCAGAGGGCCAGTTGCAAAAAGGTTGGGGCCTGGGTGTCTGGGGCGGTCAAGAGTCTAGGGAGCTGGCGGAGGCGTCAGTCGAAGCGCCAGTCCCATGCCTTTGGCTTCCCGGAGCCCCATGCTTTCCAGAATCTAAAGCCGAAGCCCAAAAGCCGTCCTATAGCTAGGTGGGAGGAAAAAAAAGCTTAAACCCTAATGCCTAAATCCTATAACCCTAGACCCTAAACCCTAATGAACAAAAGCCCTAAACCTGAATCCTGAATCCTGAGCCTGGGGCTGGCAGAGAAACTGGCTAGTTCTCCCGACACCCGGCGAGAATGAGAGCCGCCGTGCACGTATCCGGTAACAAGGAAGGCCAGACAGGGTTTGGGGGTTTAGGGAGTGGTTGGTAGTCGCTGTATGGTTTAGGGTTGGTAGTCGCTGTATTTTGGCCACACTGCAGAAGAACAACATCTGCGAAATCCTGTTCCCTTCATGATGTGAGCCCTAAGCCCTAAACCCTTGTATTAGTTGTGGCCCATGGGTTGGGGCCAGCTCCCCAACAGATTCTATTGTACATTGTTGCGGCACCTAGACTCTTGATTGATCTCCGGCTCGAGCAGGAATGCTAAGCATGGAACCCTGCACCCTAAATCAAAAGCCCGGATGCCCCAAACCCTAAACCCTAAAGCCTTGAACATGCGAGAGGGAAAAAAAAGCCTTGAACATTGCCACAGAATGCCAGAGTTGCCTTACTGAGAGGTGAAGCGGATGATTCACGTCGGGGCCGAGGACCCCGCCTGTTTGAGGGCCCACGGTTTTCAAGCCGAGGTTTCATCGCAGGAGAAAGCAGGAAAGACCGGAGCTCATTCTTCCTTTCGGCTCTTGATATTACCGGTTCAAAGAGGGTTTCACTTCAAGTATTTGAAGGGTTTCGTGTTTAGATCTTGTCCACAAGTCTCTTTGGCTTTACCTTGGCCTGCCCGTTGATGTTGCAGAGCTCGATCTCTGGAACAAGCTTCTACAGAAAGAGCCCGAACCAGGTAGGGGGTTTACCTAGACTTAGGGCTCCGTCCTTACAATAAGGATCCGAGTATGTAAGTTTTTTTTCTGAGACTCTTGCTTTCGGGGCAACAATGTAGTTCCCAGCAGGACATCACGAGCGAAAACCTCGATGAGCTCACTGTGGCTTTGCAACGACACTCGGCAAGGTGTTTCTTATATTCTTGAAACCCTGAGCCGCAAACCCTAAACCTTAAGCCCTAAGCCCTGACCCCTAACCCTAGGCGTGCGGTGTCAGCAACAGGAGCCAGACAGAATCAGTCATGCATGCACCACGACGACGGCCCCCAACAAGGATTCTGCAGAAGAGCCCCCCCCAAGCACCCTGAATCCTAAGTCCGTTGCACAGACAGTGGTGGCACTGAAGGTGGAGCAGGTAAGCGGAAATGCATCAGAGAGAGGAGCCTTTGCATACCCCAAATCCTCCAAAGAAACACCAGTAGAGCCTAGAACCTCAACCTTTCCCAACACCTTGAAGTCTTCCAGCCCTGTTTCCTAAACTTCGAGCAACCATCGAAAAGCGGGGAGTCCCTGCTTGAGCTCTTCCACTAAGGTTTCGTCGGAAACCTTGCCGAAGGCAGGGGTTGTGCTTTAGGCTTGGGGAGTAGCTCCATGCCATATATGAGCGTATGCTGTTTCTGTTTGATCAGGGGTTGAGGTGCTTAGGGTTTAATTCCACTTCGTGCTAGGACGCAAGAAGCCCGAAAGTGAGCAACTGCTTTACTTATCGCGGTCTTCAATCCGGAAGCCGCGACAGCTTGCCCAGCGCCTTTCTTTTGAAAGTTCACGCCGCCCCTAAGAGTAGCACGCCTCTATCCTTGAGCCGTTTCGGCGTAGTCTTTTTTTTACTTTATGGACTTTCGTGGCTTTTGGTGGGGATATGGGTGCCATCGGCTTCGCATGGCAGGCTTGACGATTCATAGGCAATGGGGGGAAGCATGTTCATACCCAAGTGTGGCTGAAGCAACTTTGCCAGCAAGTATCACAGGCCTCCTTCAACCTAAAATAGAAGCCTTCACATTTCTAAGTCTGGCATCAGTGTATGGGGACTGCCACGGCAACGGATGAGTACTGCAAATTATTCAGAACCCTGTATTCGGTTGGTCGGGAACTCGAGCTGCACCACCCCAAATACCTATGTCTAAAAGCATCTCAAGCCCCAAAGCTTTAAAGCCTTAAGCCCGAAAGCCTGAAACCCTAACCCTAAACTCATAAGCTCTAGAGCCGCCTACAGCCGCAAAACTCTAAACCTGCTGAAGCCGGAGGCAGCTACGGCTACGGGCGTTACATGCGTGATTGGGATCGGCTCTACCAGGAGATCTCTGCTGCGGCTAGCACGGGTTGCTCCAAGGGTTTGCCTCTTTTTTGGTCTCAAGGGCCAAGGCATGGGGGGGGGGGGTACATAGTCTATTTCCACCACAGGTGATCTGAGCACCAAAATCTGTTTTTTTGTTTTTGCGAGTTTTGGTTGTTGCCTTTGCATATTGGACGGCGACATGGAACTTGAATTTTGCTTCTACTGTGTATTGCTGCATCGGCAGCAGCAGCAGCAGCAGCAACGACAGCAACAGAATGTAGAATTCCCAATCTCTCAACCCTTCAACCCTGGCAAGCCTTCTGCGATCCTTGCTTGAAGCAGTGTGATGAAGCATGAGACTAACAATTGTAGTTACAATGCTGTAACTTGTTGTTACAAGTGACAATAGCCTCCAAGCAAATGAAAATCATGTCGGATCCCTCGCCAAACATAATTCACCCCTGTAAAGCATGCCTCTGAACGCAGACCTCGAACGCCTCCACTGGATCGCGAAGGATTTCCGTGCGGTGTCCAGCGTTCAGCGGGAGGGATACCTCACCTATGCAGCTACCCTGGAGGCGAAGCTTTTACAGGGTTTAGGAATTAGGTACGTTGGAAGCCTTTGCAGCGTTTGTTGACATGAAGAATAGGTCAAGATGAGCTGCTTTGATAGAACGACACCGTGGTACATCGAACATGTCCCTACAGATAAGCCTGCTTTCACACTACAGAACCCCCAAGCCCACGCCGGGAGATGACAACGGCCTTGCAGCAAGGCAATGAATGGTGAACGCTAATGGTTAAATCCCAAAGTTAACCCGTAACCTTCATACATCTGCATACCCTTTTTTGCAATTCCTTACTGTTTCAAGAACGCGAGTTTCCCACCCCACAACCTTACTTATTGTAACTGACAAGAATCCCCACCCTGAAAGTAGCTATGTCTCAGGTGGTGGGACGGCAGCAGGTCGGTCTGCCCACTACCTTCGCAGAGGACGCGGGCATGGTCACAAAAGGTTTCGGACTTAGGATGTGAGATTCGGGGTTTAGGGTTCAGGGTTTAGGGTTTAGGGTTTAGGGTTCCGGTTGAGGGTGAGGGTTTCGCGTTTTGAGAGTTGGACTTCTGCGTCTGGGGGTTGAGGTTAAGCCCTGAGCTGTACAGCCCAAACGGTTGAACATCGGAAAGCCACTCCGAGAGCAGAGCTTGACTGTTCGAGTCGGGTTTGGATAGACTGGGTTTCAGGTCTTGGTTCAGGGTATACAGGTGTGATGGGCTTCAGGGCCTTAGAGGGTTTCAGAGCAAGAGACCATATGCGACTTCATAGTCGAGTAGTTATGAGTATGGACATTGATGTCGGTTTGAGCTGCACTCTGCAACTGAAAGCATTCCTAGGTCTTGGCTCTGCCATTATTTGGCCTGCTACTATATACTTGCAGTGCTCGGACTTCCAAAAGACTTGACCTGCAGGACTACCAGTGCATGCGGCAGGTTAGTTTTCTCGAGCAGCTGGCTTTTATCGCCCAGCACATTCAGGCGGCCCGGTTTCGAGCATGGGAAAGTGTAACCAACATCAAACCCTGAGCCTTTTGTGTCCGATTTCAGGAGCGAAAGCAGGGAGAGTCGCGCATGCGGGCATTGTGCATCATGTTTTGGCTCGGAAAGCTTGCGATCTCGTGCTCCAGTCGGGCCACCAGGATCTCCAGGAACAGGTCTCAGTAAACTAGCATCTGAAGTTTCGGCCCTAGCTGAAAGTGTCAAGCAGGTGGACGTCCCCGACGACATCTGCGAAAGTACCTTCGACAAGGACATCACCCGCATGTTGCCACTTGTTCCGCCTGGAGTTTTACATGCTCCTGCTTTCGCTACGATTGCGACTACTGCTGCTGGCGCCCTCGTTACCGTTTGCTGTTACTGCTTGTGCCGTCAGCGGACGACTCCTGCTGCTCGTTCTCCCGTTGTCTTGCGAACCCTCATGACAATCAACCACCATGGCCGTTTCCATCACGACCAGAACCACGGGCGCCGGGAACAAGCTTCCGCATCTGAAACTATAAGCCCTAAACCCTATAGGGCAGGAATCCATTCTGTCTTGCGCGCAAATCCTGAGCCCTCCACCCTGAACTCCCCACACTGAGCCCGAGCCTCTTAGAAAGTCTGCTGTCTGGTAATGATAGCAACATCAACACTACGAATAGTAGGAGCGATGCTCTCTCTCTCTCTCTCTCTCTCTCTCTCTCTCTCTCTCTCTCTCTCTCTATATATATATATGTATACATACATACATACGTACATACATACATAAGTATGTATGTATAAATATAAATAGAGAGATATATATATATATAGAGTTATATATATATATATAAAGATGGATAGAGAGAGAGAGAGACAGACTCTATATTCATATATACAGACCACAAAAGTAGTCTATTCTCCCAAATCCCTGAGGCTCAAGTCAGGGAAATACTTCGATCGTCTCTTGGAGGCTCGGGAAGATGTTGGAGCTGAGTTCCTTAAGGCTTCCTGTAAGGGCGGTTAAAGGTTTTCAGGGTTTATAGGGTTTATAGGGTTTAGGGTTTAGGGAGGGCACTGTAGTGAAGGTTCAAGACTGTAAGGGCTGTTATAAGGACTCCTATAAGCTCTAAAGGGCAGTGTAAAGGTTCATATCAGGGTTGCTGCAAGGGCCTCTGTAAGGATTTATCACCAGGGTTGGGGGTTCAGGATTTCGGGGTTTAGGGTTGAGCTGTGAGGCTCTGCAGTTTGGGTCTCAGGGTTTTGAAACCGCGCATGGTTACGACACGAAAGCTTCGGATTCTACGGGCCCAGCAAAGCAAAGCAACGAAAGGTGGATGGCCCCGGCTACGACGAGGGCCGCATCGCCAGGAGCCTCTGGGAATTTCCGGAAGCGGATTGCAAGGTTTGTCTTGGGGCTGTATAGAGGCGCTTTCGGGCTATTTTTGGTAGGCCTCCATGAGGCCTTGTTAGGTCTTTTAGAAGGGCTTAGATGTTGTAGGGGTTTTGTCAATAAACCGCTAAAGCCTTGCCGATAGTGTGGAGACCGAACCGTGTGGAGCCTTGCCTGCTGTGTGCGAGTGTGAGTGTCGAGACTACAGGCGGTTGAATCCCTTAACGCTGAAGCATTACTAACCCTCAACAAAGTCCCACAAACCTCAAACCCCTAACCTGCCAGACCTGAACCCACAAGCCACAAGGTCACGTACAGCGCCTTAATCAGTTCCTGCGAGAAGGGACTAGAAGCTTCGTCTAGCACTTGGCAGTTGGATCTTTGTCGTTCAGGTGGCGGGGCTTGGACATCAAACTTTATAAGCTGCCAAGGGACAGAAGTTGGTGGTGAGACCCCGCCAGTGCCATCTGCCACAACATGCAACAAACAGCCTTGTATACCGCCTTTGCTGAACGCACCTTTGCCTCGAGGGTACTCTAAACGCCTAAGCCCTAAACTCTGAAGCCGAGGAGTGGAAGAGGGCCCTTGTGCTCTTCGAGCAGATGCTGAATGCCTCACTTCAGGCCAGCGTCATCGCCTGCGATGCCGCTATCTCTGCCTGCGACCCGGCTGAGATAACAGTTGGTGCAGTTCTAGGGGTCCAGGTGTGGCATTCGAGTTCATGGCTTAAACTCCTTTTCCCAGCATCTTAAAGACGCTCACTATGGAGATGAGCGAGATGATGCTAGCGGAGATCGCACATAAAGCAGTCGGGACAGGGTCAGGAAAGGTGGTGGAGTCGGTGTTCATAGAGGTTCTGCAGTGCTGCACGGGATGGGTGCGGGCCGCAGCCTGGAACCACTCAGCCGCACAGCGAGTGATCTTCTTGTGTCAAGAGGGCTTCTGGTACGGGCACCCGACCCCGCTACGAGAAACCCGAAACACACCATCCTTTTGCAAGTCTTGAGCGGGCCCACATGGTTACGCCCAAGCTTGTTTCTATGCCTTCGAGTGTCGAGGGATGAGAGACTTAATTTTAGGGTCCACTGTTGCGGTTCGTTTGGGGTGGAGGGTTCAGTATGAGGCTTTTCAGATTCAAGGCTGTGGCCTAGGCTCGGGTCCTGAGGCTCTCAGGCGTGTTGAGGCTTTTCGGTTTATCAAACTTGAGCTTGCCTCGTCTTGTCCTGCCAAAAATTAGCCTAGGGTTTGAAGTGGCCTGCAAGGTTTGGATGGTTTCCGGCTCTTGAGCAAGGCGATTAATGAGAGGAGCGTCGAGTTCGTTGTGCTGCGGGGGCAGCTGAGGCGAGAAGTGTGGCAAGTGGCAACAAGCTCTCGCGCTTTTGAGCTGCATGCCCGAATTAAACCTGCAGCCCAACGACATCAGCTTCAATGCAGCAATTGGCGCCTGTGAGAAGGGCCAACTGTATGCAGAAGTTGCCTGATCACCCGAGCCTGTCGAAACTTTCAAGATTGCGTGATTCCGTGAACACCAACCCGAACACCTTCGATGTGCTACTACTGCATGCAGAGACTTCAACAGCATGCCATGAACAGGAAGACAGTAAATCTCGTAGATCTTATGCCTCAGCCCCCTGAAAAAACTCGTACCGCGTCCAGGGACGCCAAGTTCTGCAGAGATTTTCATGGCCTTCGGCTGTGGGCCTTGTTTGATTCTCTGCGGCCTATTTGTTGAATTCATGCGGCAAGTTTTCGCAAGCTCATAGTTGACAAAGATGGGCAGGGAGGGAGGGAGGGAGGGAGCACCAGCAACACCGGCACCGCCAGCACCGCCAGCTAGCTTCAGAAGGTTTTGGGTGAAAGGAAAGGTTTGGGATGCTTTTTTTCTTCCGAATCAAGGGTCATTAATGGCTAGGTGTTGGTCTCTTGCGGCAGGGTCATCGAACACTTACCGAAATGATTTCTGAGCCAGGGTGAGTGGTGTGGCACGAACAGGCTGGGATGTGCGATTCCGGTGCAAAATATGACATCCACCGCATCCCCTCGGCCTGTTTGGCATTTGGCACAGTCCCACAGACCATAAACCGCCACAAGGCCTGTATAATATAAATTATAAACCTAAACCCAGAGGCCTGATACCGATGCTCCCTGCTTGTCGAAGCACCTGTCTTGTCTTCAGACCTTGCTTGGCATAGTCCGTGTGTGGGCGCCAACAAGCCCTATGGCGTTTCTACGTCGGATGGCAGGCTGGGCTTCAGCTACGCTTCTCCTGGATGGTGATGCGGCCGGGAGCACGCTAGAGGAATCAGCCCCTAAAAGACTTAGGAAAGGTAAGTTTGGGGAGCCAGTGGTGCTTTTGTGGCTGTAGGGCTTGTGGATTCAGCAAAAAGCTGGGGGCTGACCATCAGTTGTAGAAGGATCGGGCGAAGTCCTTAACAGCCTCACCGAACGACCTCAGAAAGCGACGACTGCAAATCTCCTTGCAAAGGGTGCTGACAACAAGAAGTGCTCCTGGGACAGTAGCAGCCATGCTCCCGGAACCCGTGAATCCCCAAACTCCTGCGCTGGACAGGTCATGAGCGTCCTGGCCGAAGCTGCTTATCAAAAGCTCCCCAGTTTCGAGAGGCCCGGGTTCAAGCAGTTCCACTCGGTAGGTTCGGTAATGTGGGACTTGCATCGAACACTGCTACAGCTGCTGCTGCGCCGCTGTTGTTTGTTCCATTGGTTTTGCTTTCGGTGCTGCTACTGCCACGATCTATTGGTACTGTTAGAATTGCTGGTGCAGTTGCGATCACCATGTCAACCGAGGGCGGCGGCGGCGAGTTACTTCTGGCCCCCTATAATTACATGGTACGATGGTGTTGCAGATGCTCGACGTCACGGTTGTCATCATCATCGCGACCAGCACCATCGTCATAATATGGAAATTCTCATCAGGATCAGCATTACATTCATGAAGTTGCGACACTTTCTCGTGTCTTCATTTTCGTTCGGGCTTCGGGGTTCGGTTCCCTGGTCTGAAGTTTTGGAATCTCGGGCGAGGCTCCCGGCTCTGAGTTTCGTGTTCCTCAGTGTTTCGACTTGGTGTACTGGGCTTGCGGGTGACGGTTCAGAGGAAGCCCTTGCTGCAGGCAGTCCACCTCCAATTTTGCATGGTCCTGCGCGGTTTCTCAGTGCAAGGGCAGTGTCGGATTAGAGGCCCTTGTGTCCTTGCCCTAGAAACCCTTCGTGATCACATCGAAACCCGATTCCACGTTTATTCACTCAGTCATTTACGGCCCTTATACTAGGCTGTTGGATACTGGTGCGTGGGCCTTGTGGAGAGTGTTGCTTGGGGTGTTGTCGGGTTTGCATGTCATCCGAGTGCCGCAGTGATTCGTGTTTGCTATGCCACGTGTCCAGTAGCAAAGAAGAGGCCATGTGGCTATGCCTCATGGGCCCAAGACCTTAAAACAGTCGATCCAAAGCAAGCAGAAGGTCCTGCTGTTCCTACTTGCTGTGATTGTCACGAGTGTGACGTTGTGGCTCGCACTAGATCGCAACCAGTCCCTGCGCAAACTAGACCCTCGACCACAAGCCCGAGGCACTGTACACCCTAAACTCCTGAAGCCCGCACATGTTGCAAATAAGACGGACAGAACCAAAAGCCTCAAATTCTGCCTTGCGGAATGACATTATGATATGAAGACTAGGTGGGGTCTTGCAGAAGCAGCTGCTCTACTGCGAAAAGGAACTTTGAAAAGCTTCAGTTACTTTAAGTTTAGCTTGGAACCAAGCCATAAGGTGAGAGTGGAAGATCGAAACCACCAAGGCTCCAGTTCTAGACAGTACGCAGCCCCCAACCGACGTGAGGTGCAAAGTTGAAGCACAAGGACCTACAGCTATTCGAGCGGGTCGCGCAAGCTGCAGTGGAGGCCTTTGCGCCC